TCAGCCAAGATACTCTAATAGTTTTGTTGTAAAAAAATATTTTCTCGGGAGAATATTTTTTTTTGTTTAAAAAGCTGTATCTCATCTCCTAGACATACGATATTGCTGAAATTTTCCTCACTACTTCTTTTTAGGGTGAAGATATAGTGGAAGTAATTTCAGCCAAGATACTCTAACAGTTTAGTTGTAAAAAAATATTTTCTCGGGAGAATATTTTTTTTTGTTTAAAAAGCTGTATCTCATCTCCTAGACATACGAACTTGCTGAGATTTTCCTCAAAACTTCTTTTTAGGGTAAAGAAATAGTGGAAGTAAACTCAGCCAAGATACACTAATAGTTTAGTTGTAAAAAAATATTTTCTCTGGAGAATATTTTTTTGTTTAAAAAGCTGTATCTCATCTCCTAGACATACGATATTGCTGAAATTTTCTTCAAAACTTCTTTTTAGGGTGAAGAAATAGTGGAAGTAAATTCAGCCAAGATACTCTAATAGTTTAGTTGTAAAAAAATACTTTCTCGGGAGAATATTTGTTTGTTTAAAAAGCTGTATCTCATCTCCTAGACATACGATATTGCTGAAATTTTCTTCAAAACTTCTTTTTAGGGTGAAGAAACAGTGGAAGTAATTTCAGCCAAGATACTCTAAAAGTTTAGTTTCAAAAAAAAATTTTTCTCAGGATAATATATTTTTTTTGTTTATAAAGCTGTATCTCATCTCCTAGACATACGAAATTGCTGAAATTTTCTTCAAAACTTCTTTTTGGGGTGAAAAAACAGTGGAAGTAATTTCAGCCAAGATACTCTAATAGTTTAGTTGTAAAAAAATATTTTCTCGGGAGAATAATTTTTTTTTGTTTAAAAAGCTGTATCTCATCTCCTAGACATACGATATTGCTGAAATTTTCCTCAAAACTTCTTTTTAGGGTCAAGAAATAGTGGAAGTAATTTCTGCCAAGATACTCTAATAGTTTAGTTGTAAAAAAATAATTTCTCAGTAGAATATTTTTTGTTTAAAAAGCTGTATCTCATCTCCTAGACATACGATATTGCTGAAATTTTCCTCACTACTTCTTTTTAGGGTGAAGATATAGTGGAAGTAATTTCAGCCAAGATACTCTAACAGTTTAGTTGTAAAAAAATATTTTCTCGGGAGAATATTTTTTTTTTGTTTAAAAAGCTGTATCTCATCTCCTAGACATACGAACTTGCTGAGATTTTCCTCAAAACTTCTTTTTAGGGTGAAGAAATAGTGGAAGTAAATTCAGCCAAGATACTCTAATAGTTTAGTTGTAAAAAAATACTTTCTCGGGAGAATATTTGTTTGTTTAAAAAGCTGTATCTCATCTCCTAGACATACGATATTGCTGAAATTTTCTTCAAAACTTCTTTTTAGGGTGAAGAAACAGTGGAAGTAATTTCAGCCAAGATACTCTAAAAGTTTAGTTTCAAAAAAAAATTTTTCTCAGGATAATATATTTTTTTTGTTTATAAAGCTGTATCTCATCTCCTAGACATAGAAATTGCTGAAATTTTCTTCAAAACTTCTTTTTGGGGTGAAAAAACAGTGGAAGTAATTTCAGCCAAGATACTCTAATAGTTTAGTTGTAAAAAAATATTTTCTCGGGAGAATAATTTTTTTTTGTTTAAAAAGCTGTATCTCATCTCCTAGACATACGATATTGCTGAAATTTTCCTCAAAACTTCTTTTTAGGGTCAAGAAATAGTGGAAGTAATTTCTGCCAAGATACTCTAATAGTTTAGTTGTAAAAAAATAATTTCTCAGTAGAATATTTTTTGTTTAAAAAGCTGTATCTCATCTCCTAGACATACGATATTGCTGAAATTTTCCTCACTACTTCTTTTTAGGGTGAAGATATAGTGGAAGTAATTTCAGCCAAGATACTCTAACAGTTTAGTTGTAAAAAAATATTTTCTCGGGAGAATATTTTTTTTTTGTTTAAAAAGCTGTATCTCATCTCCTAGACATACGAACTTGCTGAGATTTTCCTCAAAACTTCTTTTTAGGGTGAAGAAATAGTGGAAGTAAATTCAGCCAAGATACTCTAATAGTTTAGTTGTAAAAAAATATTTTCTCTGGAGAATATTTTTTTGTTTAAAAAGATGTATCTCATCTCCTAGACATACGATATTGCTGAAATTTTCTTCAAAACTTCTTTTTAGGGTGAAGAAATAGTGGAAGTAAATTCAGCCAAGATACTCTAATAGTTTAGTCAAAAACCTTTCTCTCAGGAGAAAGATTATTTATTTTTAAAAAAAGCTGTATCTCATCTCCTACACATACGAAATTGCTGAAATTTTCCCCAGAACTTCTTTTTAGGGTGAAGAAATAGTGGGTGTAATGTCAGCCAAGATACTCTAATAGTTTAGTTAAAAAAAAAATTTTTGTCTCAAGAGAATATCGGCTGCTAGTTTCAGTTTCAACAATTTATTAAAATTATATTTTTAGGAGAGGAGATAAAGGTACCTAAACTTGTCACGATAATTTTTAATATTATTTGTAATTTTGCAACGAAAAATTCTAATTTTTAAAAAATATAGGGCCCCGACCCTATCTTCTATGTTTCGTCCATGTCGGCTGCTAGCTGGTGGCTGCTAGTTTCAGTTTGATATGTGGCTTTACAACATTCTTAAATTTAGAACCGACTTGGTCAACCCTGACACGCCGTGGTCTTGGTCTGCCCTACTTTGAGTGTTTTTTAGGCCCGGAGGCGCGAAAGGAGAGCAACCCCCGCCTGCTGTGACAAAGCATCACTCCCCTTCACACATTCGGCTTGTTGGTCGCCACCTCCGGCGGCGACCAGCCTCAGGCGCTACGGGTTGCAAGATGCTTGCGACTTTGTGACGCAAAGGCGGAGGGGCTGCTATTCCCGCAGCGCCGGAGATAAGGCAAAAGTACTAGTTCTTACTTCCCTAGTCCTTGCATCCTTAAAAATAGGGAACCATAAATTCTGAACATTTAACAGATTTAATGAATTTTTCAATGCAATTTGAAACTACTATAGACTATAGTTCGTTAGTTTTTAATTAGTTAGTTTCTAAATGTAGCCCTTCGTAAATTGATCGAAGTAAAACCGAAGTCTGATTATTTAAATTTTAAAAATAAATACTAAACTATAAAACATGTTTTTATTATTACTCTACCTGATAATTGATTTCATTACTTGTAATGCTCGGTCTATCTAACTAAGTATTAATTTGAAAGTATTAAACTAAAAGTATTAATACAATAAATTGGGGGTTCCTCATACTTAGAACTGAAACTCAAAAATCAACTTTTTTCATCAAACCAAACGTGTGAGGTATCTATGGATAGGTCTTAAAAAATTGAGGTTTCTAATAACATTTTTTTCTAGTAACAGTCCCCCCCCCCCCGTAACTTCTAAAATAAGAGAATAATAAAACCAAAAAACAATTATGATGTACATTACCATGCAAACTTCCACCGAAAATTGGTTTGAACGAGATCTAGTAAGTAGTTTTTTTAAAACGTCATAAATCGTAAACCGCTATTTACCTCTCATTCATTCAGCTCAAATAATAAAAATATAATAGGTGCCTCAGTAAATAATAATTATAATTCGCGCGGGGCGTGGCTAGATCGGTAGCGGGTGCAGAGCGCGCGGGGGGCAGGTTTTATATTATGTTACTTGCTGCTACGGAACCCTTCATGGGCGAGTCCTACTCGCACTTGGCCGCTTTTTTAGTTTTGTAACGACGAACTAGGTGTTGTATACCCGATTTCAAATCACTCGGCCAATACGACAAATAACAACGTTCGTGGCCGAGTGGTATGTACGCCAGGTTTCAAGGTGTCGCCTACTCGTGAGGTCCCGGTTTCGAATCCCGTTGGGTGCAGATGCCTAATATGTTTTTTTATATAAATATACTTCAATATGTATAAGTATATGTATGTATTCTATCCATTACCCTAGATCTCATAACACGAGCCTATAGTGCTTACGTTACGGACTAGGCTAATTTTATTGATGTGAGTGTTGGAAATATTTATTTATTTAAAGGGAAAGGGATGAAATTTTAACTACTTTTAACCCAAATAAATAAACAGAGCAAACTACATAAAACCGTTAAAAACTGTTTAAAAATTATTAAAAAGGTATTTATTAGATACATTTGAAATATTAAGCATTCTAAAATAATTATTTGTTAGCATTCGGTTTCACATGTGATTACATTGCAAACACACATTAAAAGTTATAGCTGCAACAACCTCGTCGTCCACCATGTCTGGCCATCCAGATATACTAGCATAAGCGCAAGCGCGGGGATGCCTGTTTGTGTTGGGTGTATGTTGGCACTTTGTTTGTGGTGTTTGGTGTATGTAACAAACACCAAGCGTGTGCAGCTGTGGAGGCACCTTGGCAAAATTTGTTTGTACGTTTGACCTTACTTGACATTGTCATGTGCATCATGAGCAAGACATTGCACCAAGTAACGCGATCCGTTACCTCAATTAAATTGGGAAAAAGGGAATCAGTTTTAACGCACTCAAATGTTTTTGTAAGTTTGAAGTGAAATATCACTGTTGCGAAAACGAAATGAAATTTCGGTAACGAACGAATTTTAAACGAAATTTCGCCAGACTCCACTCTATTTCATTTTCGAACACGCACATAAAGTTCGGAATCACAAACAATTTTCGTGAACGGAATGAGTCATGTTTGTGAGTTCTTTTTCTTTCCACTTTTTAGATTAGGTTTTTTACTTGGAAACGATATTACTTCACGACATTTTTTTTATGACATTGAAAGAACCGGGCCCCGGCTAGGGCGGCAGGGGCCCAGTGCCTTGCGTGGGGATTATCATCAGTCCTGCTATCCATCAGATCAAGCGGAGAAAGACAGAGAAAGAACGTATTTAGTGATTTTGTACATCATTTGTAATTTCTTTTCTGATGTTTATCAAAACATAATATTGTAAAAATGTATACTGGATTAAAACAAAAATGTTTCCATACAAACCATAACCATAAGCTGCCATGCCTAAGGTAGCCATGGAGTCCAGAAAGCAAGCAGCAAGTCGGCCTAGACCACCATTGCCAAGTCCTGCATCGTCTTCCAAGTCTTCTAATTCCTCAATGTCCAAACCCAGCTGGTATAAGGCTTCATCAACTGTTCCTTGAATACCAAGATTGATCATGGTATTTTGGAGTGAGCGCCCCATGTAGTATTCCAAAGATAAGTAATAGACGCGCTGTTGAAATAAATAATCATTTGAAATACAGATGTCATTCAATTTTAAAGATAATTAAATATAAGGTAACAAATCATACAAAACATTTTATTTAAACACTTGTAAAGGGGTTAGGATAAATAAAAGAATTTGAAGATAAATAAATTGATGATATATGTCGACCCAGGACTTCGTTTGCGAAAACCCATTAATGTTCGTCTCTTAATCCAAAAAATGTGACAATAATTACAATACACAATGCATTCATGAAACCACATTAATGGATCTTGCAGTCAAAAACCTGAGTTGATTTGTATTATAGCCTCATTTCAATTTACTGGGTTAATACAATACAATGACCATATGTAAAAAATTCCTCAAGTGAGAACTTGTGAATTAATTAAAAATACTGTAATACTTTAATAAATTTAGGTATAATAATTCTTTTGAAATGTGAAAAATTACATGTTAATACTCAAGATGAAATTCTTAATGCTGTTGTTGACTTGACTACAAAAATAAAACACAAATTTTGATCAGAAAAATTTAGTACATATTAGGTACTAGTGGCCCGACCTCGCTTCGCTTCTGTGTAGAGCTGAAGTGTAGACTACAGTTTTTGTTCTCAGGCTTCTATTATACACAATAACATTCATCAATGATTCTTCTTATACCTGCATGCAAAGTCTCAGCCTGATCGGTTTAAAATTGACAAAGTTTCATACAAACTTTCATTCCCTAATTTATCCCCTTGGGGGTAGAATTGATCAAAATCCTTTCTTAGTGGATGCCTATGTCATAACATCTACCTGCATGCCAAATTTCAGCCCGATCCGTCCAGTGGTTTGGGCTGTGCGTTGATAGATCACTATGTCAGTCAGTCACCTTTGAGTATTATATACAGTGGATCCCCGGTAGTCCGACAAACATTTTGCAGGGCAGTGTCAAACTATCGAATTTGTCGGATTATAGAGTACTGCCTAAGACCCCCTATAATCCGATTTTTTTTACAAAAGAGTACCTTGTAATCTGACAAATTACAGATCCAATGATAAGATTACAAATCATACTTTGTTATGTATGTCAAATTTAGTAAATTAAACAACACAATAGAAAGATTACGTTTTATTATAAAAGTAATGTCATTAATGCTATAGAATTTACAAAAAAATCTAAAAAAACAATACCCTACACGCCAAGCACAATAGTGATGGTACATACAAGTTGTAACTTGTTCAATCGTGAATTAGCGAATACTTGTATGTAATAGACGATGTCGGGTTATAGGGGGTGCCGCATTAGCCAGGGGCCGGATTACCGGGGTTCCACTGTATATAGATTTCAAGAGACTTGAAAAAATTATTTGACACAGTAAGCCACAAAAAGCTGCTCCAAAAATTAAATAATATAGGTATTAGGGGCACAGCTCTTAATATGTTCTCATCATATCATTCAAATAGTAAAATTAAGTAATGACACTAGTTACCAGTATCACATGACCTATGGAAGTCCTCAGGGCTCCACAATCAGTCCATTACTGTTTTTAATTTATACAAATAATATAAGTACTATTGGACTTAATGGAAAAAAGTAATTGTTTTGTTTACTAAACCAATACTGCAGTAGGAGTCACAAAGAATTATTTTTGTAAAAAAGGTATCTTTTAACAGTTTTTTTTTTCTGGCGCTTCGCCGGCCGCTGCCCGGGCACGCTTGCTTTGCTTGCTCGGCTCGCGTGTTCGGTTCACAACACTAACCTAACCTAGTGTGAAGTATTACCACTTGGGCCTTCGAAGTACAGTTTAGCACCTCTTTGCACCTAAATTGCAATGACTATGAGCAAGAGTATAGCTTGGATTAACTATTAATTTTTAAACTTGTATTTTGCCTTTCTTAAAACCTCTTCCCTATGAGCAAAATTCCGCAACTGCTGCTAAACATTTATTTAATAATTGTCAACCTTTACTCTTGGAATGTAAGTAGTTACATACACGTGACTTTTTTTTGTTTAAAAGTTTTCATTTTTTATTCTAACAGGTATTACCTTGGGATCGTTTTCATAGTAATATTGCTGGGTGCGAATCCAACGGGAAACAAGATGGTCCCGGACCGTGTGGGCCAAAGCGAAGTAGTAGTCCCTTGGCGTTGCAACATTCCTGTCTTTCACGAGTGTGTAATGGACGTGGCGATTGAAAGCCTTCTTCACTTCAGCAACGTTCTCCACCGCCACTATTCCTCTCACCGAAATCTGCTTCCGCTTTTCATGATCCGTTTGAACGCTCATTTTTATATTAATATTATTTTTCCACCCAACTCGTGCGACCCGAGAAAGACAACAACCCCGACTGAAGAAGAAATCCGCCGACGAGTATCGGTCACCTTGTGAAGGTCAAAGCTGTATACCAATAATCAGCAACAATTAGGCACGCCGGCTGTATTGAGTATTAGATATTGGGGTAGTATCATAAATTTTGGTTATTTGTAATTAGATTTCAATGGTATTTTCAGAGATTTTAATCAATAATTTTTGGGTAGAACGAAAAAATATTTGTAGACATAATTGCTGTCACTGTCAGACTGACCTGACGATGGCAATGACATGATTTTCCTTAAAGTTTTTCAGAAAAGGCAAAGGGAACAATGCTCATACAGCCTAGTCTTCAGTTTTATTCTATAGTTTTGTGGCGACTGGATTCCAAGAATGCTGACTTGATATAAGCGTCGACGCGCGGTCCGCGGTGACGTGAGCCAGTCGCACATTACCACCGATCCCGTCAGGTTCATTCTCAAGTCATTGTAATAGTACGCATAACAGTTAGAAAATAGACAGTATAATTTGGAGTCAGAGTAATTTAGATGAACATTGTGAAGTGAATAAACAGTCAGTGATTTATATAGCAGCTTTCATTTGACATTCGCACCAGACCCTAACTTAGGTAAAGTGGCAACAATATAAGTCAATAGAGACAAATATACCAAAGTTTTATTAATGTTCTTTTTTTATATTAAAATGTGGGTGTGACACATTCCAATGTTTGTTGTTGTGTTTCACACAAAATGTATCAAGTCAGATTTCTCTATAAGTTTCTGTGAGATAGTCAACACTACAATAAAGTTCTCACGTCTGCTTGACCGAAATAGAGTATATTTAAAGATTCCACTAATTCTTCAGTTGCGCAGACGTTTGTAACACAAAACGCACCAATTTTATTTTACAATATTCACTTTGATCCAATTAAAGAATAATTAAAATAAAACGCCAACCGCACACAATGAAATCCCGCCAAAAACTCATAAAATTAACACGAGCTGCGTTCGCTATTTGCGTCTGAACAATCTTTTTAGTCGGAATCGTTCGTTTATTACATCTATAGTAAATCTGTACCCTTTGTACGAGTTTTACAATTACGAAAACTATGATCGTTTTCGTGAGCTCGCACTCGTATTGAGAGTACTGATTTTATTGTTGTCGTTTCAATACAAATAATGCGAAGAGATGGCGCTGCCTTGCAGCTTAAGAATAGCTAGAAAGAATTTCGACGCGGTCCGTGAGGGCCGCGGTAGCATAATTGGTCAGTGCATTCGCCCGGATTGCGAAGGGTGCGGGTTCGAGTCCCGTCTGCTGCCTGGTCCACGTGGAATTTTTTCTAGTTATATTTTCTTTAGATTTAAACATCAAGCAGTTACATGCTTTAAAAATAATAAAAATTACAAATAAACAGTGTTTAAATTCAATCATTAAATCATTTGCGTCTTCTTAAAGTCTAAGTATATTTGGTTACTTTTCACCAAAATGGACATAGAAACATAATTTACAATTACGAAAACTATGATAGTTTTCGTGAGCTCAAACTCGTACTAAGGGTACGGTTAGTTCGGTAACTCCACTCAGATCACTCCGATCCTTAAATATAGAATGTAAAGATCTCTAAAATCTCGTAGGGTTCAGCCAGCGTTTGCAATGTAGCGCCTAAAATGCGTTTGTTTACGACATCTCATTAGATTAGATTTCAGTGTTTCTCTATATTATGCATGTATAACCTATACACATACTAATAAACTTTCCTCTTGAATCTCCACTCTGTCTATTGAAAAAAAGCGGCCAAGTGCGAGTCGGGCTCACACATGAAGGGTTCCGTAGCAGTAATTAACGTAAACTAAAAGTAGTCTTGTAGTTCGGTGTAACTTTGATCGATGTTTTAATAATAGTGTATTTTTTTATTAAATTATTGATAAGTAAACATTATAGTTCACGGTTTATGCATATGGTTTATGTTTATGAAATTAAATAATTTAAATAATATATATATTTTTTTATATTTGAGTTATTTGAATGAAAGGTAAATTGTGGTTTACGATTTATGACGTATAAAAAAAACTACTTCTAGATCTTGTTCAAAGCAATTTTCGGTGGAAGTTTGCATGGTAATGTACATTATATATTTTTTTAGTTTTAACATTCTCATATTTTAGAAGTTGAAAGAGTCTCTCGCGCAAAATATTCAGTTAAGAAAAAAATTACATTAGAAACCCCAATATCATTTTTGAAGACTTATCCATAGATAACCCACAAGTATGGGTTTGATGAAAAAAAATTTTTGAGTGTCAGTCTAAGTATAGGGAACCCCCAAAATTTATTGTATTTTTGAAGTTATACTTCTTTAGCCGCGTTATGAAAAAATTATGAGAGTGCAATTTTAAGATGCGCGCGCATCACTGTAACACAAAAGTAACATAATGAAGTTAGCCGCGGGCGCGTTATGAAAAAATGATGAGAGTGAAATTTTAAGATGCGCGGGCAACATTGTAACAGAAAAGTAACACCATGAAGTCAGCCGCTAAACCGCACATTACTCGTAAGTCTCGAAAAAAAGCTTCCAACAAAATAGTAATAGGATCTCTTAGTCGCACATGTCGGGACGCTCGTCGCCTCTGATCACTGTTTTCATATTTATAATATTTATCCACATGTTTCTAGTTTCTATATTCATAACACGTGTTATAATGTTATACAAATGCGAAATTTATATGTGCTAATAAATTTTATTCAGTAGTGATTTAAATTGAATATTTTGATTATTTATTAAATTTTTCAAATTAAAACTGAACTTTATTGACTGCGTTGACTATCCTTTTCCAATCCTTTTATTATCTTATTGTAATTAATTATCTGCATGCAATTAAAAACTATTTTTTAATAATTCCAAAAAGAAGTATAACTTCTCACGCTCGTACTTAAGTACACGCACCCATATTTTTTTTCTATTTTTGTGTGAAAATCTTCATCGAGTTCACAGAATGCATCTGCTTACCAAGTTGCAACAGTACAGTTCTTATAGTTTCGGAAAACAGTGGTTGTGACATAAGACGGACAGACAGACATGACGAATCCGTTTTTTGCCATTTCGCTACGGAACCCTAAAACCGCGTTAAACAAATCAGTTGCGTAGTAAAGATCTAAGCAATACATATAGACCGACAGACAACGGAAAGCGACTTTGTTTTTTACTGTGTAGTGATGAATTATTGAGTTATAATATTACTAGTAAAACTTAGTAAAAACACAGAAAATATCTGTAAGTATTTTGCCACAAAGGCCTATTGGTAAGCTTCTCTGCTGCGAGATCCTGCTCCTGCTGGCTAGCAGATACAAATTGACCGGTCGGCAGCGGCGTAGCGTGGGTGTCGGTCGCCCGGGGCGAAGGACAATTTTGCCGCCCTCTTATTTAAATGGGTGAAATATTTTTACTATTTATTGTAAAATTTTGCCGCCCCCTAAGAAGTGCCGCCCCTGCCGGCCCGGTTACACTACGCCACTCCAGCGCCGGTCGGTAAAGAGGTTGTGATAACAGACTCTCCTCCGACACGCTCTGGAGCGTCACACACAGGAATCCGTCCGGAAGAAATCAGCAACGCTATTCTTCAATGCTTGATATCGTTGGGTACGCTGACGAAAATACAACACTGTTGTGGTGAGTTACCCAAATCACTCAGTTCTGCTGCGATGTAATGAGGTTCACCGAATCAACAACATCCTGCCCCTCTAGTATGATCACCGAAACGGGATATGATAAAGCGATATATAGACAGTGATGTCGATTCTAGCATGATTCTCTAAACCTAAACTTAAATTTGACAGCAGTATATCCTTCTCATTCGCTATACAGAATGAAAAGGAGAGACTGATGTTAAATTTAGTTTTAAGTTTAGAGAATCACGCCAGAATTGGCACAAATTAACTGTCAGATTACAGTGGAGTTTGACAGTTGAGATTCGATAAAAAGCTTATCATATCCCGTTTCGGTGGTCATGCTAGACTCTAGCATGCCTCTAGCAGCTAGAGGGGCTGAGCTTAGTAAAGTTTCCGAGTGTAAAACTGTAGATTTCAGGACATCGTCAGCTCCAAAGTTAGCTCAATAGGTAAAGATATACCTATTGACCTAAATTTAGAGCTAGTAACTAAACTACTAGTGAGTATATTTGTTTCTTAGATTTTCACGCACATCACTCATTAAATAAAACTAGTTTTAAAGGGTTAATGCACGAAACTTTATTTATTTCTTTAAGTTTCGCAAGATTCGCAGATGTACTAGTTAGTAGTTGAATCGAAACCATTTTTACGAGGATGGAGTACAATTAAAACATAAAACTTTCTTCAACAATTTTATTTCAAGGGTTATTTCAAATCGTTTGATAAAGCTACTTATAGGTACATAGTTAATCAAGTTATTGGTATTAATCAAAAGCATAGATATTCAACTTCAGTACATTCATTCATTTATCACTTTTCAAAAGCTAATTAGATGTGATAAGCTTAATCATGAAAGACCATTGTCTATTTTTGTATTGTAATACCGCGGTTACCTATATAATACAGTGTGTCCTCATCTTGTAGCACCTAGCCAAAGTAAATAAGCATTTTATACTTCTTAAAACTTTTTCCGAGTTAAAGCCTACGGCTTACCCGGCTCATTAGCGAGCTGTAACCTTTCTATATATAACAATGTACTCTATGCTGTAACCGTTGCATGCACTGTAACCAAAAAGCATAGTGTGTACGTGGTTCGCTAATCTGCTGCGAGCGGTACGTGTGCGGTTTGCAGCGAGCCGACATTTACAGCTGAGCTACAAGCGTACACACTAGAACCTCCTACTATATTACGCATGTTACGGTTACAGCTCGCTAATGAGTGCCCGTCTTAACGTTCCCTTCAAGTGAGTAGATTTAACGTAGGTACTTAGTTCTCCACATTTTACCAGCAGCGCCCTCCTGTCAATGGAATCCTAGTGCCACAAGATCTTACGACTAAGACTGTAGGTATTTTGTTATAGTTATTAATCTTATATTGATATTTATTAGCACTATGCTAATTTGTAACTTAGGAAATAATGACTGTATTCAGATACGTTAAGTTAAATGAAGTCTCTGAGGAGAGCTTCGTTGACGTTAATGGAGACGCTGGGCGACGCGTGGCTCGCATTGAATTCTGACATAGTACCTGTTATTATATTATTACTTTTACCGTTTTTAAAGAAAAGACCTCTGTGACAGATAGACCTACTGAAGTCCGAGACAGTTTGTCACACTTCAGATACGGAATCGTACGTCTAATACAC